CGTTAGTGTGCCGAATCAACCGGAAATTCCAGCTTTCGTCGCTTCCGTATTCAGTCGAGAGGGCTACGAGAGATGCGAGACGCGATAAAAAAGGAAGGAGAGAACTAAGTCGTTTCCGAAGGAATTAGCCAAGGCGAGATAATGCGACGAGCGACGTCTAGCAACCCCCTTCGGGTCGATTGTCATGAAAATATTTATTATCGGAAAAGAGAGAGGAGAAGACAGAGAGAGAGGAAGGACAGGACAACAGGCAGAGCCTCCCTGTTTCCAGATAATTAGAGATCGACGTCCGTCAAGATTCTATAAAGATGCTGCGACAGCTGGAAACGACTATGCAAATCTTCAAAGGTTTATCTATTCTTCTACCTACCTTCATCAACACTTTTTATGTGATCGGATCTTCTAGCAGAGAGCGATTTATGATCTTTTTAGTTGAATATTCTATTTGCATTGTAATCTTCGTGATATATTGTACGTTTAACTGAAATAATAGACTAAAATTTTTATAGAACAACGACCCACATAATCCACGTTTCGGTTAAACGTGCTATATATATTGAAAATTCGGATAAAATTTTCTCTTTTTCGATTTTTCTTTGTTGGTTGTCTCTAACCATGTGACCTTTACCTAGCGTAAAATAGAGTTAGTCACGCATTTTAAAAAAGATTTCGAAGGTGTTTCATGGTTCTTTTTATTATTCTCGCTATCTTGTTCTTAGCTATTCATGATCAAAAAAAGGATTATCTAAATCGGAAAAACCATTTGCCGAAGAGGAAGGTGAGGGGAGGTAACGAGACTGGAGCGAGACGGGGAAAGATTGCCCCCGAGAGACGAGACAACCGTGAGGAGATCGCTTTTGGGATCATTAATTATCCTAGAAAGTGCGAGAACGGGAAAGATATAAACGAGGAAAGGGGGGATGATGATGGAAAAGAGAGCCAAACGAGCGACGGAAAAGAGAGCGAATGAGACGGCGAATGTCACCGCTGCAAACCGAAATTACTGTGACGAAAGATTAATGATCCTGTACTTTATTGCACGTATTTATAGGTCCGATGCTGAAATTTCTCGCGAAGTTTTAGTTTTGTCTCGATATGACAGTCACACCAAGATCTAAAACCTTATCTGATTTGTCGATTGTACCAATATAAAATAGGTTTCTTTTGTATAGAATAAAAAGATTAACCGTTTTTTCCGTAATCTTTTTAATGTAAGTATATGGTTCCGTTTTCCAAGATCAAGAAACGATTTAACATGATTTGACAAATAAACCCTCTTGTTAAAAGAATTCTTTTGGGAAAAATTTCTATTCATTTTTCCGTAATACATTCAAATAACAAAACAAATATTTTCTATAGAAATTTATAGTTTTATAGAACACTTTCTATAGAACGCTTTCTATACAAATTGATTACACAGTTCAACAAAGAAAACGACAACGAGAAAAAAAAAATATAAGAAAGAAAAATATAAAGAGAAACGAATAACAAATTTTTTTTTATGCAGTTACGTTCTCCTTTTTAGTTCCATTGATTAAAAAATCATATAAAAAATCACATTAAAACAATATATTTTTGCAACTCTAACCGCTAAAAATTTCTCAAAATTGTGTTGAAGCAATTTAAAAATTCCTCATTCAAACATTAAAGATTTAGAAGAAAACTAGATTATATCAATTCTCTTTGTGATATTATATAAATATTTAAGAGAAAAAAAAAAACAGAAGTTTCGAGTATCTTAATCAAAATTTTTTTTATATTTTTAATCTCAATTTACTTTGATACTTTAAGTGAAATCAGATCATTCTTTCTTGAAACTATAATCTATAATTCTCAAGGCTGCTCTCCTTTTATAAGCGGGAAATTGTTTGTTTATTGCCTTTGAGGTATAAAGTAAGGAAATTCATTCGTGTATAAATTAAACTTATCGTTGAAAACATGCAAAAAAATTAAAGATAAAAGCAAAATTTCTATTTGGGCTTGCGTGCGATGCGATTAAGAGATTTCGCTAAAAAATCAAGGAATACATCGCGTTCGCGGGCGTTTTTTTCGCCGATACATTATCGTATCGTACCCGCATACCGACGGTACTCGTCGCATTAATTAACTCTGGTCCGAGCGTGTGCTCTACGATGTAAAAGACTGGCGGAATGAAAGAAAAAAGAAGAAAGAAAAAAAAAACGCAACGTGCCTTCTTTAAATAAATCGCCGGGAGTGATGGATAGGAAGGGGAAGATTAACGAGCACGATGTGTCGTTCGATTCGATACGTCGAATTAACGCGAGACAGAAACGAAGCTTTGCGTATCGGTTATTAATGACTTACGAGATTCTGCCAATGTAAACGTTAGCGATGCCGCGCTTACTCGCGTCGCGTTGCTTTGAATTCGCTTAGAGACGTTTCTCGAATACATACCTTAGACTTATACGAGAGCGTATAAAGCGTGAATTGAACCGGCAATGGTGGAAACGACGATTAATTGGCCATAAATTGGATGTAGCGATGACGTTTTTGTTAACGCGCCTTATTGACCCATACACACGCGCGGGCGCGCGGTACATAAATGATTAACGCCGGGATATAGAATATATACATCCCGTTTTCTTGAATACATTTAACGATTTCGCAACGCAGCGAATTTGTTTTCAGCGAACTAAATCGTTATTGCTCGACGGAGGTTAAACGAATTCCAGTCGCGCTCTCGTTGCGCGTATACGCGCGTACAAACGCGCGGAGGGCGTGGGGATGAAAAAATCAACCACCGCCCTCCGTTCCCTGAGTGGCAGGTTCACTAATACGTACCCTCGCGTTCGCCTCTCCTGCGAGCAATATCGCCCCGGTTTCTCGTCGATGTACCGAGATAGAGGAAGACAGAAACGGTAGGGTCGGCGGTTAACGATGATAGGGTAACTAGAAAGAGAAAGAGAATAAGAGAGAGAGAGAGGGAAAAACTCAAGCCTATAATGTTGGGGGAGGATCCGGTTATCTTGTGCCAATCTTCTTTGCGTTTTCTCGCACGCATATTCTTTTCCCCCTTATTTAAGTACATCGATCCGTTCGATTCTCGACACGACGGAAATACACCTTTCGCCAAGTGTCGTGTGAATTTATTGTTGCAAAGTCTGTGATGTAACTTTTGAAATTACATCCTTCTGCTTTGATTTCTCTCGTAAAATACACTTGTTTTCGCGCGCTTCTCTCTTTTTCCCCCCCGCGAGAAACCGGATGCTGCTGTAGCAAAGAGAAAAAACCAATGCTAAAGGGGTGCGAAGGGGAGGGATGCGATGAAGGTGGAACGAGGGGATGGAAAAGCAGCGGATCCCCGAGGTAATAGCGCGAAAGTTCCGACATCGTTAATCTTGCAGTTCGTAGGTCGACGGATAGACGTATGTATGTACGTGTCGGATAGCGTATACTCGTTGCTACGAGTACATCACGAGGCCACACCCCCGCGTGATCGACAGCACGGTGGTTACAAAACTCACCCCAATCGCTTTACACATTTGTGTAAACGTTCACTTAGCTCATTTCTTCAATGTTATCAAATCATTATCGGACTCGAAAGGTTAATTAATTCTTAATGAATCATGAAGGAAAGATTAGAAAAATAAATAGAATAAAATATATTATATCTATAAAAAAATCCCTATATGTGTGTAATAAAATATCTATATATAATATCCAAAGGAAAACAGTTTTATTAATTTTCCATAATTTTATCATTAAGTAGATAATCATTCACAGATGAAACAACGCGTAAAACAAGCAATTATATATAAGATGTTCTTCCCTCCATTTTAAATTCTTAGAGAAATATCTGAAAGCTAAATGGACATTCAAAAAAAGTCACGCAAGAAAATTGTAGAGATTCGATTAGTGTAATTAGCAAGGTATTTTTTTATCACTATCCTTGTCTTTATCTTTATTTATCTTTATAACATTGTACCTGTTCACTTAAATTTTGATAAAATTATTTCTTTGAAGCCATAAATTATTTTAAAAAAGACTATCATATCTAATTTATTGTTAGTTTCGAAGAAAGTTGGATTTATTAGACAATAAATATTATATATATATATATGTATTGAAGAAGCGCTAAGAGAGAAAACGAGCATCATCGAGCCATCTATTGGTATTTGAAGGAACGTATCATCGTTCGATTTGCATAAATTCGCACATTTCTTAATTATCAGAAGGAACAAACAAATAAAAAAGTTTGCATTAAAATGTCTATGAGTATGTAAAGCAGAATATAGAGAGCAATATCGTTTTGCAGGAACACAAAAAATTTCGTGCAATTTCCAAATATGCAAAAAATTTATATATAATCAAATGTAAATATATATAATTATATATTATATGTTTTCATTTTTATAATTCTTGCAATAAAGTCGCATCACGCACCAGGAAATATTAACTTACAATCAAGATAAACCGCACATATACAGTTGAAGTTTGGAACGTCCTGGAGCGATTTTTAAAAAATGTACCTATACCCGCATCGGACGAGTTTGAAAAATATAAGATTCTAAGAGGAACCTATATAATAGGTAACCGAACTAATTGTATAAGCAAATCTATAGATGAGCGAATACGGTACATAGGTCATGGGGCGCTGTGTGACTCGTCAGCGGTAAAGAATAGTTGCCAGCTGAGAGGGAGGTCCTTGGGATCATTCTTTTTTTTTTTTTAATTTAAAATGCTTTCACTTAAAGACAGTTATTCAGCACCCTTGGGATCATCGACATATAACATGGATGCACATACCACGAGAAAATCGGTCCGCTTCATAGAAAAGGATAAAGCGCATGTGCGATCATATCTATCTCTTTCTATTCAACAGATTGACTGCACTTACACTCTATCTCTCTCACTTTTGATGACCACCATTTATGTACACCATTTACGATTAGATACGCAATCCACGATATATGTCGATGCTTAGGATCGCAAGTCCCGGTGAAATCCCATTATTTTTTCTCTGCAGGGCAATATTATAATCAACGTCACGTAAACTATAATATCGAGTGCACTCGGGTGACGTACTCAAACCAGTGTACACCTCTCTATGTCAGTCGTAGTTTATGACGTCTCGTTGGCGAACGACTCGGATAGAGATTATTTTCCTCGGAAAAAAATAATTTTTTTTTTTTTATATACGAAAGACCTTTTTTACTCAGTAGTAACGACAAATCGAAGCTTAAATAGACACATTTAAACATTTCAGACCACCAGTGGAGACTAAAGTCGTTTATTATACAGGATACAGGATTAGTAAACTTGTACCTGCATTGTCATTGTGTTAACTTTCAAATACTACTCTATGACATTCCAAAAAGAATTTTGAATAGATTTAGAAATATTCGACAATAGAATAAGATAGTGGTGTTGGACCACTTTAACCAAAGATGAGACAAAGATTGATAATCTAGGAAATTCCAATCTAGCAATTCTCTTATCACAGATTCTAAACAATTCATCGTTATATGCTCTCGTCCAGGATCGACGTATATCTTACAAAATTCAGCCGTTATAATATATATTGTAATATAAACGGCGACGTGGTGCGAACCACGCTGTAGTAATAATTAATGTGTTCCCTCCCCCGGTATCAAGAAGTACTCGACGGGACAGCTTCGTCGAGCAACGATAACGCGGTGCGACATATCGAGTCGCCTCGGCAAGAAAGTATGTCTTACTCGAGCGAACTGTCACGCTCCCACGAATATCTGAGTTTTCGTAGCTCTATACCGCTGAGGAAGATTGTCGTCGATGCGGATGGTGCCAAGGTATTATTTCATTAGTGATATAAGATTTAAATATAAATATAAATAATTCGATATCTAACTGTTTATCGACATTTATCTTATTTTGTTTTATCATTGTTTTGGACATATAGTAAAGATTTAAAGTAACTTTGTGATTCTATCTGAGCGTCGAATAAAATAACAAAACACTAACTTTATCTTGAAATGTAAATTGTTTCAGGGATGGAAGGTGTACGATTCCAATCCAAAAACTATCAAGTGCCCGCTTATATGTCTTCCACCAGTCTGTGGTACCGCCGATATCTTTTTTAGGCAATTATTAGGCCTGGCTGCCAAAGGTTATAGAGTTATATCAGTGAGTTGAATATAAAGTCGTGAAACATTTAAATGTATATGCAAAGTAGCGTGAAAGATCTTGTTTACATCATATTGATGCAACAGTTGACCTTTAACAGTTGATCCAGGAAGTTCACCTTTATAGGCTGAGCCACCAGTATATTGGAGTATAAAGGAATGGTGCGATGGATTCAGAAAACTGTTGGATTACCTGGAACTTGACAAGGTCCATCTTTTTGGTGCTTCGTTAGGTTAGAACGTATAAGCAAAATATTCATTTTTAAATTCACATGTAATCTTACAAATAAAATGCATAATTATAAATTTTATATTTGCAGGTGGTTTCCTGGCACAGAAGTTTACAGAAATAAATGCGCATTGCCCTAGAGTAGTATCTTTAGTTCTGTGCAATACTTTTACGGATACATCTGTATTTAGTTACAATGATTCCGCAGCAGTGTAAGTCAATTCTTTTTATTACAAAATAATTTACTCAATTTTACATCGATTCTGTTATTATATTTCTTATGTTCACAGTTTTTGGATTTTACCTTCAATGGTACTAAAGAAAATGGTAATGGGAAATTTTGCAACAGAGAAAGTTGATGGAGAGATCATAGAGGCAATAGATTTTATGGTGGAAAGGGTATGAATCTCTATTTTCTTCAAAAATTATTGGGAAACAAGAGAAACATATAGAATGTTTTATTTCTACATATAGAATGTTTTATTTGAGAAATTGTTTTTAATCCTGTATACATTTCTCACAATTTTATATAATTTCTAGCTGGAGAGCTTAACGCAACCTGAATTAGCATCTCGTTTAACAATGAATTGCATAAATTGTTATGTACAACCTCAAAAAATATGTCATTTACCAGTGACGATAATAGATGTTTTTGACGAATATGCTTTATCAAACGCTGTTAGGGAAGAAATGTATAAATGCTATCCAAATGCGAAATTGGCCCACTTGAAAAGTGGTGGAAATTTTCCATACTTGAGTCGATCTGCCGAAGTCAATTTGCATTTGCAGGTAAATTTATAAAATACAATTGCGGTCAAGAAGAATTTTTTATTATCGATGATTGATAAAGCATCAGAGGGGTTGTTTTCAGATACATCTAAGACAATTTGAGGACACCGAATATGCAGCCTCAGAAAAAATTAAGATTTAGCATAATGTGTTTATATTAGGAAAAATGAAGTATTAATTAAATAAAGATGGATTCCACTACTCATAAACGGATATTATAAATATGGACATCTACGTCTTTTATATCGTATATCGAGTAAGATATGATTTAATTAATGTCTCAATTTAGCTCTTAACAAAGCAATAATTTGTTACAATGTCCAAATATTATATAATATGAATTATATAATATATAGCTATTTTGAATCCATTATGTCAAACACATTTAGTTCCTTAAATATAAAGAGCATTTATATTTTATAATATCCTGATTTTCTTTTATCTGTAAAAAGAAAATAATATCTACAATATCATCTATTCTCGCAAGTTAAAAATAAATATATCTTTATTAAGAAGTATACTTTTTACCAAATTTCCTTTATTATATATAAATAATTCTAATTAAACCTAATAACAAAATATTTTCAAAACATTATTTTCTTAAAATACGACAAGAATTCATAAATAAATACTTTCATAAAATTTTATGTAATATAAATCTATTTAGGCGTATGATCTATTTTATTTTATCTGTTCTTCTATTATTGTTCTCTTGGAAGCTAATATATATTTTAAAGCAGCACAGTTATGGTGTGCAAAGAGAAGTTGACCATAGTTTGCTAGGTCGCCTGACCGGGAGACCGTATAAGAACTCGCTTGGTATCGATTCCTTCATGTGTGCTCGCTCGCGTTTCTCTTTTGCAATCTCGTATTACAGGGCCTGTTTTGCCAAGTATACGTATACGAACGACATTGTCCCTATTAGCTTCCTTTAAATTTCTCTTTTCCGCGTTGATTTTTCAATTTTAAATTTTAATTGGCCATAATTATATATATAATTTTAAATTACCGACATATCAAGGATTTATCTATGATTTTATATGATAATTGAATAAATCTTTTTGGAAAAAAGTGCTAAAGTTAAAAAGAATTAAAAATTCTATTAATTATACATGAAGTTTCATCGAAATATTCAAATAAACGCCAAATAATTCATCTGTTCAATTTATTAATATTAAATTTATTCATATTCACAAACATTATGAATATTATCTGATATCTTGCGTGTGAAAAATGAAAAAAATAGTTTATTAAAAAGATTAATGGGAGGTTTGATTTATTCGACGTGTAAGTAAGATTCACATGCTGATAAGATTATCTTTATCGCACTTGTTGCCGATATTGTCCCATAAGTAATCTTCCTGGTGAACTGGCATAATCCCTCTCTAGTAAAGAATGACGTATGTGTATAATGTACGTCTCAAAGCTCAGTCTCTTACCTGCACGCAACGCAGCCGGTATCCGATCGCGATAGTATATTCGTCGTGACAATAAAGTGAAATCTTCTAATATTTTTTTACGGCACGTTTTAAAATATTCATATCATTCAGATTGATAAATCACGTAAATTACAATCTGATTACTTTTTCGATAAGCTTTAGGAAATTCAGTCGTAAAGTAAGACACTTGTTGGTAAGACGGTGTCTTGTTCGCTTTCATACATTTTTGTGTAATTTTATTTTTTTAACTAAAAGAGAGAGTCTCGAGTTTTTTCCTCTCTCTTTTTTTATCGACTGTGTGTAGCCGATCGCGTCTTCTGTAAAATATTAAATTATTTTTTATAGTTGTATGTTAAATTTATATTTATTGAAATACGTATGCACATGTGCGTGTATTTTATTTTAATAGTTAACAATATTTTGCCAGAGTTTTTGTTAACTTTTCCTGTAATTATGTTACCCTTAATGAGTCATACGTTGAACAATTGGATCGAAGTGGTCGCATCATTATTGTAATAAGACATGCTATTATCGATATACGATCTATATCTAATCCCTCGTGTGATATTACGATACATTGATGCATATGCTTTTAGTAAACTTATTCATAACTATCATGCAACCATTCTAATGAAAAACTGTTCTAAGGAAAAATAGCTTGCAGCTAAATCTAATCAAGTGAAAGGAACATTGACCACAGGTTCGCCTTAGAAACAAAGCGTCATCAATTGATATTTATTTTTGTTGTCATGCAAAATAATAGAATTTTTTACTATTTAAGTTTCGAACTTGTCCTTAAAATATCTACGGTATATTTTATCAGAGATCTTTCCTTCCCACGCGGAATCTTCTATTAGATTTTAATTTCCATTTTATAATCGCCCTGATTTTATTTTCCGCAGATATTATCTTTCGGAAGTACAACAAACAAAATAATATCATGATGGATTCACCGGAATCCTGAAAGTTTCCATCTCTACATCTTGGAAAATACAAAATCTTAAAAAAATGAATAATGCCGGCGAGCGAACGCGTCTCGTGGACACCGGAAGGATTGCGACATCCACGAAACTTGCTTACGCTCTTGGACACGTCTTCAACGATCTGGCGGCTGCCATGTGGTTCTCCTACACTCTAATTTATCTTCAACGAGTGGCGTTATTAGAACCCATCGTCGCCGGTGCGCTTTTGCTCCTAGGTAAGCGTCCAATTATTCATACACGACGTGGACGACGTTATCTTATTATTAGTCAACGATTGATTAATGTCGAAACGATTTTCATTCAAGGACAAGTCATCGATGCGATTGCGACACCTGTGTTTGGTTTCCTGGTCGATCGTTACAGCAAGAAGAAGATTTGGCACGTTTTCGGTTCTGTCATAGTCACCCTGTCCTTTCCCGTAATATTTGGCGGTTTCGCCAATTCGTCCGCTACGACAGCTATGTTTTTATATGTAACGAGTATTACAATATTTCAAACGGGTTGGGCGGCCGTACAGATTTCTCATCTATCAATGATTCCCTCCTTAACTAATTCTCTCCTGGCTCGAGCCGATTTGACCGCTATAAGGTATGTAAATTGTAACAAGATTCTTTTTCTCTCTATCTCTCTTTCTCCCTGTGTGAGTTACATTAAAATAAATTTGATTATAGATATTCCGCCCAAGTTAGTGCGGCCGTGGTAGTTTTTATAGTTACGTGGATAGTTTTACCGACTAGTGGAGATGAGTCGATGGTTCAGTTGGATCAGCAGGACGATTATAAATTTAGAGTACGTACAAAAAAGCCGCGTGTAAAAAAAAAAAAAAAAAAAATTGAACGTAATTTCCCGTGCGCCCGGCAATTTTAACGCATTACAATATCCATTTTATAATTTACAGAATATCGTCCTGGTTCTCACGACTCTCGGTCTGACCGCAACAGTTTTTTTTCACATTTTTCTAAAAGCGAATCTCTTGGAACGAGAAACGTCTCCGAAAGCGAACATCGAGGAGCCGATTGGATCGTCGAACCGTCGAATGTCATGGATCGATATCACGATCTTGTTGAGAGTCGCGATGCTCTACGTAGCGAGCAGATTATTTATCACTCTTAGCACAGTGTACTTGCCACTGTATATAGAGGAAACCGAAATTGGCGGCAAGAAGGCATTGGCCACTGTGCCACTGGTCTCGTACATATCCTCGTTCGTGGCCGCTTTCTTACTTAAATACATCAACAGAAGTTGCGGCACCAAGGTAAGTCTTTGATGATACTTTCTTAAATGGAATCAGTGTATTGTCATTGACAAACAGTATTTTCGGTTATAGCACTGCGAACAATGAAATCTCACTGAAAAAAATTAGTTGATGATAATGACTCTCAATCACACACATAGTGATATTTTAAAATATCTTATTCCCGGGAAAAGTCTATATATTATCAAATATAAAATTAGATATGATTAGATGTATATAGACAATTTTTTCTCACTTCTTAAAATTTATATTATTTTATATTTAATATATTTATATTTAATTACATATATAGACTTTTTTCTTGCGTTATGTAATATTATATATATATGAGATAAATTCGATAGCGATATATTTCGTTAAAGAAATATCTAAATTTGATCAAGCGTCTTGTTCATTTTTTATTACGCTTATCACATTTTAAGAGTAAAAAAAATCATATGCATATAATTCTAAATTAGAATATTAGTTGTATGAAACTTTATTGTCATAATCAGCGAGGCATAAGACGAGAGAGCAAAGTATGAATGTTTTCATCGAAGAGATGAACGAATATTTCACTGATCTTATTACTGTTTTGATCAATGACATTTTCACTGATTCAATTTAAGAAAGTAAAGAGAAAGAAGAAAAAAACGAAAAAAAGGAACTGCGTATATATATTCATATTGTTATTTCGCCGAATCGAAAATAGGTGTGCTATTTTCTCGGTGCTACAGTAGGATTAGCGGCAGCAGTCGTTACGGAATTTGTCGCGGGTAATACGACGGTCGTGTACGTCATCGCCGTATTAATTGGCGCGGGAAGCTCCATTACGATGGTCACCGCATTGAGCGTCACCGCCGAATTAATCGGCTCCAGAACGGAGCGTAGCGCGCTCGTGTATTCCATCGTCACGTTCCTCGATAAAATAATCACCGGGCTCGTGGTGATATTCATCGAGAAGTGGTGAGTGATATCCGGAATATGGGGACTGAATTTAATTTAATTATACAAGTTACAATTTTATATGTAATTATATATATATTGATTCGCGTACGCACGAAGAGAGTCATCGACATGGATATATTAAATTTACCCTGCGCGTAAAATTTATTTTTAATCACCGTTGAATTGCAAACGGGAGTTTGATATCGATTATTTTGTTATTCATATCGTTCGTATATTTTTCCAACATTCCGCTTTTATTCCTTTCAGGAGATGCAACGACAAGGAACTTTGTTTCAATTATAACCGAGACACATTGTCTATCGTATGCGCTTCCTCGATGACACTGGGACTCATAACTTTGATATCTGTATCGCGTTGCCTAACTTGAGACACAATGACGGATCGATAACGCCTTTCGCATTATGTCTGTATATAGATCGCAATTTTATTTATCCTCCCGTTGAAAATATTGCCAAGGGACGAGCGATATAAAAAAAAAAAATTCTACATCAATGACGTAGTTATTTTTTGTTTATATCTCGTTTTATATCAAAATCGCAATAAATCTAAAAAAATCCATTATCTTTCCTACACTTTCTTTTTTTTTTTTTTATACTCGTGTTGCCATCTTATATCAAGATTAAAAGAAATTAAAAAAAAAATCCATTATCTTTCTAATCTCCTTTTTCGAATTTATCGATTTCAAGATCAATCGTCGCTTTATTATCATCCGCTTTCGCGAATGTTAATTTCATCCAATTGTGCCAGATGTCGTCCGGTATGCGTTTCGTCGTTTCACGGCGAACTTCACGTATTAGAGAAAAGGCGCGTCGCCATAGCAGTAATGGCGCGAGAGTACGTTGACCCGCTTGTCCGCGCGTTACATACCGTCCTGGCTCCTAGTCGCGGTTGCGTCGTAGTACGTCAAGGCAAGAGAGACACACATTCGCTTTATCGCTCGTATATACAAAGCGTACCGGGAAACAGGAGGGAGATCGTAGACGGGGCGGCGAGCCACTGCGCAGACGCTTGGGGTGGTGGGTGGAGGAGAGTGGGAGTCGCGCGGCCGCACGTTCACGAGGTATGGCGTGGTGCGCGTTCTAGTAAACAAGTTGTGTGTGTCGAGTCGCGCGGGGAATCTCGCGCTCCCCGAACGAGCAATAGCGATTACCGTACGTATTTGTTCGACGAGACGCGACCGTTTCGTCGTGCGTCACGACGCGTCGCGTCGTCATCGTCGTCGTTGTTATTGTCGTCATTGTCGTCGTCGTCGTCGTCGTCGCTGTGTAAAAAAATCTCGTATCATGGTGAGAGAAACGATAGAGGATAAATAAATGATAACTTCAACTCAGATACATACGAGCCGAGTGACTCTCGACACCATTGCCGCGGACCGTCTCGGTGTGCTTACGTGGGTGTATGTGTGTTGTTTCTCTCGTCTCTCGTTTGCGGAGAAAAGTGTTTACAGTGCTTGCCATACCGGATCTCTCTTTCTCTCAACCGAGGCTCAACGAGACGACTTTCGGATCCGTGGCGAGACGAGGGAGTCGTCGGCGCGACGAAGGTGATGACTCCGAGACACGTTCAACGGAGTTCCCCACTGAACGCCGCGTTTCAGGTGAGCGCCTCTCTTTCTCTTTGCTTTCTCCTTCGCGTCATTTTTGTCTCGTTCCTTCTTTTTTCGCCGCACGCGCCCCAGACGACACGCGTCTCTTTTACATGTCACGTATTTGCCAAGCAATTCGGTTATTATCGCGTCAAATATCGTGCAATATTGACTCACGCTTCTTTTTGTGTCGCAAAATATTCTCTAAATGTGTGTTTTCGACTTTCGTTTTTGTCTTTCGATCGCGGAGATGTCTTTTCTATTTCCCTTTTCTCTCTCTCTCTCTCTCTCTCTCTCTTTTTCTCTCTATTTTGTGTCATCTAAAGAATTCGCTCCGCATCGCCCTTTTCTCATTTCGTCCTCGATCGAAAAGGTACACGACCGGAGAGAGGGCGAGGAGAGAAGGTTAGGGAAAAGGTGCGCGCAGGTAACACGCGAAATTTTTTCGAGACCGTTGCCGTCGTTCCTGGGCGTTGTTTCTCTCGTAGCCGGACGCTACATTGTGGAGCTCGTGACGAAAAGGTGCTTTTCGCATGAAACACGCATGCTTTCACGCGCGTATCAATGGCCTCCGAACGCGCCGTGTAAATTATTCGCTCGTTCGCGAGAAGAGAAAAATTTAAGAGAGAGAGAGAGAGAGAGAGAGAGAGAGAGAGAGAGAAGGAGGGGAAGGGAGAGAAAGAGCGAAGTGAAAAGAAGGAAGCGAAACGGCTCCACGTAGGAGGTGGCGGTGGCGATTTTTTTCGTGGAAGGTACGCCTGGAGGCGGCCGTTTTCTTTCGAATCTCACAGCGCGATGTCGTTTTGCTCGGATAAAATCGACGGCGTGTCGATATAGGGGACGGCGTGGCGACGACGGTTAGATCGTGATATTTTTCTCTTTAGTCACTGACCTCGCGGCCGCTCGGCTAACCTCGTTCACCGCCGCCGCGCCGTCGCGTCGCGTCGCGAGAACGAACGTCGCGACGACGTCGATCCGCGTTCGGAAGAGAGAGGAGAACCGCGTTTCGTGGACCATGGCTTTCGGCACGTCTCGTCGTCTCGCCGCGAGGCCCGATTTCATCTCGCATCAAAGCATTCTTTACCGAAAGAGAGAGAGAGAGAGAGAGAGAAAGAAAGAGCCTGTCCTTGTGTTCTCTTACATTATCGTAAATATATGTTTTCCTTCGTACAAGCCTCCCTTAGGGGATGTCTATATTATACTCGATATTTGCGCGATTTATGTTTGCTAGGATAAACAACAATACTACATTTCTTTCTCTCTCGTGTCTTTTTCGAAAAATCTCTTTCGAAGGGGAACGCAAAAACGAGTTATTCAATCTTATGCAAAATCTATTGATATTTACGGATGCTTATGAAACACGTGTGCTTATATAATTTTCGATTTCTAAAATTATGTTAATGACGGTTTTGATTTTAATTCAAGTAATATCAATTTTCATTCTTGTAAATGCGTTACGAATGGAGAAAAGACGCCGCTCGTTATATGTATACAGCCCCTTTTCTCGTGTAACCGCATCGCCCGAAAATGGAGGCCGTTCCGCGATTATTTCCGAGTTGGCGAACGATGCGACGACACGAGAGTATCGATCGAACATTCTATTCGTTGATTTATAATAAGATATATTTGATTGATAGTAATGACATATATCATCGTACTCTCTGCTAGCTGCTGAATTAAAAATTAAGAAAAATATGTAATCTGTCAGAGCAGAAAAACAAAAAAACATTTGTTACAGAGACAGTTTGATCTAGAGAGAATCGATTCTTCGAATGACAGGTGTTTAAGATCGATTGAGATTGCGTTCGGAATCGATTCCCATGGCATTATTTCGCGCTTTGTCGCTGAATACGCGCTTTATTTAAGCTAGCCGTACGGAAAATAACGCAGAACCGCACGAGTAACGATGACGTTTATGACATCGTAGACATCAGGCAGAGGTTGTTGCCTGAGGTATGCCTTAACTGAGGCGAAATAAGTAAAAAGTTTGCTAGACGTTCAGCCTTGAAAATATTCGTAAAAATGTTATTGGATTTATTGACGGCTGACATTAACGACAAGTAATAACGTCGGGCCGCAGTGCGTCGCCGTTCCGTCATTCTTATAAGCGTTAGCGGTACGTTTATTTTTTTTGTCTGTCGTTGCAAATCATGAAAAGACGCCAATGTTTTGTTTTTTTTTTT